ATGTTGATGCACGAATTGGATTATTAGCATACAAGTACGAAAAATCCATCAGTCGAATTGCGCAAAGGTAACGAGCGCTGGTAACAGTGACTAGTGCAAATCGTGATAATGAACTCGCAAAATGTTAAGCACTTGGCTGGTTGAGCCATTTGTCGAAATCAGCAAAAGGGTCCTCGTCTGGCTCCCCTATCGTCTCTTCTTCCATGCTGAAGACCATGTCCGAGGAAGCAAATGTGTTCATGGCCAGGTGCTCGAGATTACCTTGTTCCCTGATGTCATATGTGGATTCATGTGTTGAGGTAGATAGAACAGCGACAGAGTCATCAGCAGGCATGGAGTGGGTTTGGGTTCCCATGTCCTCTGGAAGATAGTCAATCATGTCGTCAGACATGAACAGAGCAGCTCCATTTTCGAAAGGTACGGCATCCTGATGTAGCTCGTGCTTCAGTGCATCTACCATGACGTGAGGATAATCAAAAGGACCGGTATCCTCATCAGACGGCATGATTTCACAGATTCTGTCGAGTAGTGTCGGCATGTCAACATCCGAGGTTGATTGGACTAGCTGGGTACACCTAGACACATCACCCATTGCCTCGTCCGATGTTGGAAGGAAGAGAGGCGTATCTGCAAGTTGTACAACTCCATTATCTGTAGTTGCTCCGTCTGGAAGGCGATATGTATGACGATCTTCTGGAAGCTCGTAGAAGGAAGATGGCTTCCTCAAGGAATTGGCGAACTGAGCGAGCCTTGATGCGTTGGAGGTTTCCGTATGAGGTTTGGGCGTATCAACAGAGCGCACCGCATGCATCGGCCCTGATGATTTTCTCTGACGCTTCGCGGGGCGAGACTCGTTTGTGCTGTCCAATGCACGACCCCGCAGCTTCCGATTGCAGGTCAGAAGGGCGGTCCCGTCCTTCGGGGATGGTGTCAGGGGTACTGGAGGACGCGATGATACAAGAGGACTCGACGAGATTTCTTGAACATCATCGTCATCATCGTCATGATTCTGGTTTCTAAAATCGGTGGCTTGTTGAATGACAGAGTCAACATAAGGAAGTTCGTCGTTATCGGAAAAAAGCTCGTCTCTAAGTTTAGCAGAAACAGGCTTGATCACAAAGGACCTAGCGTTCCGTCGCGTAGTTGCAGGAGCCGGAGACAGCACATTCACTTTCGCCTTTCTAGCAGTTCCTAGATTCGCCGGGGAAAGTGCGGGGGAATCCAGGTTGTCCTGGGCGGTAGATTCCTTGCTGGTTCTCCTTGAGGGAATACGATTCAGTCTGGAACCCGTCGTCGTCATTGTCGTATGTGATTCGATCGAAACTCGCATGTCTAGATTCTTGATAGGTCTTGCTGGTATACCTTCTTGACAGCTATATAACAGGGATCAGTGAGACACATAATCAGATTTGCCACGGTATTTCGTTCCTACCACAAATGTCGACAACGGCGTTTGTCCTTGCACTTATGGTTGCATCTACCTGAGTTATAGCAAGCGTCCAATCCGCTAGAAGGACACAAGACTCACAGAGAGTTGCCTTCCAGGGTGTGCTGCTGAGGGGGGGTTGCCTTTGTAGTCCATGTGCCGGTTTTTACCTTAGCGAAGGCGGTATCTGATGGCATATTTTCAGGGTACATAGTCTAGGGAAGAAACGGCCAACGTACTGATATCTTGATCATCGTGCCCTGTTAAGTCCAGGAAGTCGTCATCTTTGGCGATTTGATGCTCTTCCCAGAATGCTCCCTGATTTACGTCCGAGCGCTCGATGCATTTCGCGGGCAACTCATCTTCCGATGACCCTTGCCTAGCGCCGAACGTCGGTCGAGTCAGCATAGTCGGATACTGATTGGGAGCCAATGCCGGTTTGTATTCTTTAGTCACCGTGAGTCCTGCAAAGTTGTCCTGCGGGCCCAGATCAAGTCACATTGATGGGTAGTTGTCATGAATGGGCCGCTTACCCCGCTGATGGATATCATGACGGATTGACTTGGCTTCGTAAGCATTGCCTCAACGTGATAGTCCTTGCTTTCTTCCACAAGCACTTTAGTTCTAGTAAACCTTGTTAGCACAGTCGGAGCTATGGAGGTGACTTCAATCCCGTACGGTATTCTACGGAAGTCCACAACCTCCAGGTCCGATGTCCACGTCAAAATCGAAGTTGCACCAAGATGTAATGATTTTCCTTTCTTCTTCCTTCCAATTTCGCAGACAACGCTTATGGAGATATGCAACCTAGCACATACCGGCCGATTGTCTTTTGATGGGTCGATCGAGGTCTCTTCAACGGACAGCGAATAATCCGGAAGGGTCTTCACCGATTTCAAGACGTCTCGACCGAATGGCGCATGACGGCCCAAGAGCTGGACAACGTCAAGAGTTAATAAGATCCTTGGATAATTCCGTACCAGTTCCAGCCTTTCTGGAGTTGCTTTGCGCAAGGACTGTATGTCTTTGATTCCACCGTTTTGCAGTATCTGTCTGATAGTAAAGAACGGAGCGCAAAAGGCTGCATGACCTTACGAGTAGACTGAAAACGCGTCACGACCAAATTCTGAGGCAAAATATCACCCACGCACGATTTGTCTCCGATCTGATCGATCTGCCTCAAGACTCCTATCCGATCTTCCCACGTTCTAGCGTTTAAACTTCGCATTCTACAGCCCACACATCAGCGCTGATATTAATCTTAGTGAAAGCACTACTCACAGATCCATTCCGTACTTGATGTAATGGCCGTTATTCTTGATTGTGCCTACGTCGGCGATAGCTGCATTCTAGATGAAGATATATCCATGCATGTTGGGTAGATCACTCACCCTTCGCGAGTTTGGGCGCGTGCTTGAACATAGAGGTTGCTTCCAAATGTGGAGCTTGTGCGTCGGGTGCCTTATAGTCCGGACTATTCAAGTTCACGCCACCTAGAACGGCCTGTATCATTAGAAAGACCTTGTCGGAAGGCTTCATGATCTGCTGGAATATTAATAAGAAGAGAGACATAGTTGATAAATGAAGCACCCGTTGCGGTGGGAATCGGATATTGCTTTCGCCTTTCAGGCCCTCCAGCATCTGCGTCTAGTAAGATTTGAAGTATCTATTGTTGGACACGTGAACGTACAGTGCGTTCTCCACTACGAATGCGAACGTCTTGAAACCTTCAGTTATCAGTTAGTCACAGCGCTACCAAAAGCACGACATTATGCTTACTCTGTTGCGTTGGAAATCATTTCCAACTATAAAATGGAAAGGTAAGTTGGGGTTGTATCATGGTCAACTGCAACGAGCCATTTCACGTAGACCAGCCCTCGCTGGAAGATTCAGAATGAGGCACATCTACAAGGGAGTGACTCGTTCAGAATTTGATGCGAAGACGTGACGGATGACCCCACCGTTGGAAAACGAATGTAATACCGACTCATTATTTCTCCATATTCTGTCGCAGATATGTCGCGTCCACCTTCATTTACGTTGATTAGCTCAGCATCTTCCAGTTTCTTGATAGAGTCATCGACAAGATCGTCCAGCCGCGCTTCCCAAGACTGCTTTTCATCTTTTCCCATGCTGTAATGACGAGGGTTCTTTCGTATCCGTTGAAATAAGAACGAGCTGTGTAACCACTCTTTCGCACTGTCGGTACTCGAGATCGTCCCCAGCCTGATCTCCGAGTTAATGTGTTCAGTGAGATTTAGATGGAGAGAGCTTTCGAGCAGCGTTCTGCCGGATGCAAGAGCGTTGTATCGAGCTACGTGGGAAGATTCCGTCATAATAATCGCCAAACCCTCTTTATCGAACTGGGGCCGACCCTATGACAAGGGTTACTAAATTTGATGGTGGGCAGCAACAATGAACGAACCGCTCTTCCCATCATCTGCATGACATCAAGATCCGAATACTCGGCCCAGCCCTTGTCAGTCCACTGTTTAGTACCCTTGATCACTACCGTGTGAGCGGCTAACATAAAATTAGCCATAGTTGCTAAGTTCTTCATGCTATATCTCACGGAAGTTCACGCCAACTGCGAGTGTCTGCCGTCTGCCGTCAAATTATTGCCTTTGGCATGCGCCGATCGTACGTACCGAGGTCGCCACTACGACACGCAACTGCTTTCGGATGAACAGCTCCTCGATGGTCCGCCTATCCGATACATGGATCCCAGCATGATGGACGCCTATGCCGCATAGGGCAAGTTCTGCTTATCGTCAGGGAATAAAACTTGTTGACGGTGGCCTAATAATCCCAACCGTATAAGGCCTTATCAAAGAAGTGCACGTCGACACTATCTTCGGGATCAGCATGGGCAGGACAATATAAAGATAGAGAAGCTCACTGCTTCGGCGCCGGCCAAGGGACGGCCGAGTTTGAATCCAACAAAGCTTTATATTCTTTGGCGATCTGTTCGGCAGTGGAAAAAACACCTAGACGCCTGTTTAAATATATTCAGATGCGGATGGCCGAGCTCTCATACCTTTTCTGGTCGCGCAGAAGATCAGAGCCGGCTTGTCTTGGATTTTTTCTTGAAGGATGCTGAAAATCTTGAAGTCCAACGTTGCATTGAACTGAAAGTCGTTGTTGTTAGGCTTGCGTACGAAACCGTGCACAAGTCTCGTGATGGGGCAAGGTCGAAATTCTTCGCCGAACTGGAGGAGTTAAAAATGCAAGTGATGCTCTGTGCCTGTCTGTCGCACCTTAAGAACTGTGGCAGAACCAGTGGTTCCACCCGTGCTGGCATCTCCAATCCATGCAGCAATATCTTCCACATTGGGAACGGTTGCAGAAACAAGCACGAAGCGTACACTGGAACCGCGTAGCCGCATACGAGCCAGGCATACCTCTAAAGTGCTCCCACGATTTTCGTTAAGTATATGCACCTGACAAGCTGTTAGGGATGTATCAAAACGGAGGGGCAGAGCGAACCTCATCAACAAGGAAGAGTTTCATCTGGGCTAAAATTATGCTATTGTCGCTCCTATGCGGTATAAGCATGAAAGCCTCCGATAGAGAGGGTTCGGTACGTACCAGTTGCGTGTTAGAGAGTCCCATTTCTCAGGCGTGGTTATACTGACAAGTTGAGTTGAAAAACGTCACAGAGAACGAGCCGACGCACATGATCATGCTATTCTTTGCCTTATTCCAGGCTGCCCTACCCGTTTCGTAGGTGTCGCCAGTAAGTTCGCAACCTGAGGTACAGTCACTTATTCATAGCCAGTCCTCCAGAAGGTCGGCGCATACACGTGATTCCCACCCCTTGAAATTTCGCAGTCCAGTCGCGGAACCGTTCGGAGCATAAAGCCTAAGATGCTCAGAAAGAAAATCTGGAGAATGCACAAGATATCGCGCACCTTCGTGGGGGCCATGTACACGCACTTGGCATCGCAATTTCCTTCCATGAGCTGACGAATAATCGTCAATTCAAACACTACGGTCTTCCCACTCCCAGTTGGCGCTGCGCAATGCTACATGAGCAGGGTTCACGGCCTCGCCCTATAATAAGTCTCACCAGCGATGACCTACAAAGCGCATACAAAATCAGGGTCGTTTTCAAGCCTTTTCAAGAAATAGTTACCATGTTCTCATCACTATGTAACGCCTTTTCTAATGGTCAGAAGATAATATGGGTGTATACGCTCGAGATATCACGAACAGATTCAAAGCACTTGGACTGCATCGCATTGAATACGCCAAATTTAAACATACTCCGGTAGATATCGGCTGTGGGCGATCAGCAACGGACCCGTGAGTAGGAAGAAGAAGCTCACGAAGTTCTGACACGGCACGAAGGGCAATACCATGCTTGTTGCGAGGAGCGGTAGACAAAGAGGGTGAAAGTTCCTCAGAGGCCTCCTCAGGCGAGTCCTGTCTCGCCTGACCCTGCATATATGCGCTCTTGGGAGAAGGGGCATTGCCTCTGTACCCTTCTGAAGTGCGATACGGGATCATCATCGATTGCGCGTCATCGTGGAGCTCATCAGAGGAAGACGTCGTGGGAGGGGTACAGTAAGGTGGAGCTTCGTGCCCAACCGGATGGTGAAGAAAATAAGAATTCGGAGGCTGGTGATAGCCGTATGCAGGATATCCTGGATATCTTTGTGGGTGGCCGGAATACGAAGGCGTCGTAATTGCTGACACTGCGGAATAATTAAGTTGCCGTCTTTGATGACCCCAAGGCGCATACACGTACCTCCCAGCCTGTCGTAATCGTGGGGATACCGCTCGTAGCTGTCGTAGCTACCATGTTGCGCGTCAGAAGCACATTGCTGGTTAGAATAGGAATAAGCCATTAAAGAGCACTGGACGAATATGAAGTGCAGTAACCGCTTGGTTTGAAAGAAAGAGGGAGAGAGCAGGAGGGCCCGCTCTTTATGACGCGTCCGAAATTCGTCACGTGCCCAGACTTTGGAGCAGCCCTTCATGTTGTAACTTGTTCATCTACTGGACTGCAAAAAATCATTGCCTACATATTGTGGAATTACAAATACCAAGATGATCATGTGGATACCGCTCCCAAAATCCTCTCCGAATCTGTCACAAAGCCATAGCTCTGCACAATGAACTATCAGCGGCGTTCTGGGACCTGCACAAGAAATGGCCTACTCTGATACTATTGTACATGAGGTTCTCCTTCGCTCCGGTAGGAGAAGTAGTAGCGATTGTATCCTCGACCGCGACGATGTCGTATCCCAAAGAGTAGGCGTCAACCACGCTTCCAAGCACACATTGGTCGGCGTTCACACCGCTCCAGAACAGCGTCTTGATGTTGTGTTTCGTCAAGTGCTCCTCTAGCGGAGTGTTCCGGCCCCAGATACCGCTCATCCTGTTCGTCGCATGAACGATCGTGTTTGACTGGACAGCAAAACTGACGCACCGATCTTTATGAATCCACACATCCGTTCCAGCTAACTTTCCCTTCTCGTACTCAGTCTGCAGTGGACCATACAAATCCGAGTTCAGTTCGCCACGGAAGAGCAGCTTCCCATGCTCTGGTCCTAGATACGCGCCAAACCCTGCTTCTGCGCCATCATCGCCCGAGACTGCCTTTGTACGCTGGAAGGTACGTTGAACGG